GTTATTGCTCATCGTTTGACTACGATTCAAAACGCTGATTATATCTATGTATTAGATAAAGGAAGTGTAATTGAAGAAGGTACACATGAAACATTATTGGCAAAAGAAGGAGGTAAATATCAAACAATGATTAAAATGCAACAATCTGGAAAAACGATTGATACACAAGATGGCTCAGTGAATATGACAAAAGCTGTAGCTGAAGATGAAGAACAACTATGTATGTTACTGTTCTAATATTAATAATTATGATATTTTATAAACTTCATTTTGTTTTGTTATTTGGAATAGTGGAACGTGTTCGTTTATTGAGCGAGAGCGAAGCGATTGATACAAATCGGGTAAAAATAGATATCTAATAACTTTAAAAAGTTATTAATAATGTATAAATTTTTAGAGAGCTTCGACGTCAGTAAGACGAAAATCAATCTTTCTAAGACTCATGAAGATGAATAGTCCTGAATGGATATTTATCTTGATTGGTTGTTTAGCATGCTTGCTTGGTGGATTACGTGCACCAGCGTTCTCAATTCTATTTGCAAAAACAGTCAGTGTGAGTGATTTTTTCGTATCAATATTCTAAGAAAAGATAAAAAAAGATGTGTCTTTTTCTGTCGAATTTTTGTTTTATTTAGGAATTTAATGATTGTAAATATGGTGATCTACGTCGTCGAGTGGTAATTACATGTGGTTTATTTATTCTTACTGGCGCTGTTTTTATGGTTCTTAATTTTTTTCAAGTAATTATATTATTTCTAAACTATACCAATTAGTTTTTTCATGTTCGTTTACAGTTTGTAGCTTTTGGAATTGCAGGAGCGAAATTAGTTAGTCGCATTCGTTCAAAAGCTTTCGGATGTTTTCTTCGTCAAGAAGTCGCTTATTTTGATCGACCTGAAAACAGTTCTGGTGCTGTATGTACCCGACTCTCTTCTAATGCAGCTGCTATTCAAGATATGGCTGGTTCAAGATTAGGTGTTATTTGTCAAGCTTTTTCCATGTCTATTTTTGGCATCTTACTTGGCCTTTACTACAGCTGGAAACTAACAATAATCATAGTTACACCTTCTGTTATCGTTATGATCGCCATTACTATTCAAATACGGTTGAGTTCATGGTTAAAAACACAATCCGATCTCATTTACTCTCAAGCTACCACGGTAAAAGCATCTTGTTATTCATAATGTTTTAATGTATAACAGAATTATGTTATTATATATATTATTTGATGAAATGATTATTAAATATTCATTTTATGTTTTGTCTTTTTTAGCTTGCTGTTGAAGTTATCACCAATATGCGTACAGTAAAACAGTTATCAATGGAAAATCAAGTTTCACGACAATATTCGAATATGATTGATCAAGAGTTAACGTTAGTCTTGTGAATACTATTTATATACATATATTTGAAAAAAAGAAGCTATAATCAGCTATTTAAGTAAAAAATGCATAAAGCAATAAACAAAACTCTGAGTACTTTTGATAATCTTGATTAATTTTTTCAAAAATATGTTCTTCTATATCGATAATGACTTAATAAAATCGAATATAGCTCTCTTTTTTACAGATATTGACTTCAATCTTCAATAAATTATCTCTTGTTTAGATTGTCTTGGAAACCTGAAGCACTGTATGCAGCAGTATATGGAATGAATTGGGCGATGCATTCATTGATGTTGGGACTTTTGTATCGGCGTGCTTTGATTCTTCTTGAAAACAATGAACTAGATATGAGCGATGTTGTTATGTAACTAAAACAATAACTTCGATAATCTATAAGTTAAGTTTTATTATTCATTTTTATTTTTATAGGGTTTCTGCTTTTGGAATGTTCGCATTAGACGCACTAAAAGTTGTTGGAATGTTGTAAGATATAGAATTTATGTTTGTTTTTGTTTTTGTTTTTATTATTTTAATTTTAGAGCAAGACGTATTGGTGCATCATTTTCTGCTGCTAACGCAATTTTTGATCTATTTGATCGAATACCAACTATTAATAATGGATCTAATAAAGGCCAAGAATTAGTAAAAGAAAAACAAAACTATTGTCTTTCACTTATATATTTTTATCTTGAATTGTTTAGACTAATTT